TGGCTTTCGGATGGGCTGTTTGTCTGGCTCTGTCAGGAACAGATATTCACAACATAGAACAAAGAGGCAGTTAACAAATATGAGATATAAAAATAAATGAATAAGTATTGTGAGATCTTATAAGAGGCAGCATCATCACAAACTACTGAAGCAGTATAAGAGTAACGCTCAAGGAACACCAACCTGTTCTCCTCAAGGAACACCAACCTGTTCTCACTCCGAAGTCGTCCCAACTTTGTTGTAACGTATTATAGGCATCAAATTCAGAATGAGTGTGTGTTTACGAAAAACTAAAAAGTATCACTTTACATGTTAAATATCTTGCCTTTATACTCTATTTAAATGAATATATAGTCAAAAAAGGTTTTCAAATCATTGCATTCGGCTTTCGTTTACGTCTTACACAGTGTCCCAACTTCTTTGGAGTGGGGGTTGTTAATACTTTAAAATATTGTGGTTTATCTTAAAATTTGATGGATATTGTACAAGCACAAAATCATTTGCTTCCTAACTGTATATGTATATGTAGATGCTCTGAAATTAGAGAACTGGAATTGGAATTAATTTACTCCAGCCTGCGTTTATTTGTCAAAATTTGTAGATACACGGTGCTAGTGAAAGGGATTAGGCATTTAATTGGGAATAAGCTTTTTAAGGGAAGTTTTACGGTATTTAAAAGATAAAGTACAATAAGCTTTACCTTCAGCCCACACCTTTTTTTGTGAATATGTTATTTTTTCTTTTTAATTAAATGCCTTGTTTTGTTGTTTGTTTTTTATGTGCATTCTTTTTGGAAATTGTGATTATAGTTTGAAATATATTACTACCACTATTTAAGAAGACAATGCCGTGTTTGAAAGGCTCCCTGACCTTAAAGAAAACATATTGGCATTAATTTACTCCAGCCTGCTGATATTGCAGCTTGCAGAACTCGTCTTTCTTTTATGTCTTCTGTGGTCAGTGAACAGCGTGCAGGATGTCAGACAAGCACATTTGCACAAACCTGTTCCCTCTCTGAAGCGAGGCACTTTGCTGTCAGTTTGCCGGCGATCACTGGGAAACTTGGAGGTGCCTTCCTCAGGGGGAGGTAACACTGTGTCCAGTTTTTCGAAGGGCTGCTTGCCTGGCTCTTTTAGGAACAATTTTTAAAAGAAAGAACAACATATATGAAAATAAATTAACAAGTATTATGAGATCTGGGGTCCGTTTCACAAAGCAGGTTCAACAAACTCTGAGTCTAATTCTGAACTCTGAGTTGATCTACTCTGAGATAGGAAACTCTGAGTTTCCGGTTCCAGAACAGCTGATTTGAATCAGTTTAATCAACTCAGAGTAGTTTCACCTGGAGTTAAGCGCGTGCACCACAACTATAAAAAGCCAGCATCAATGGAGCCCCGAGTCGACGAGTCACCATGGCAACGGGGACGGGGAGGGCGTTTTTCACCCCACTAGAATTAGAAATCTTAATGCGCTCATACTGCGAGTTTGAACACGTTTTCAAAAAGAAGTGCCGCTGAACACCGCTGCAGCTGCAAAAGAGAGGGAGACGGCGTGGGTGAATGCATAAGTTTAAATGTAGTCCTTTGCAATCACAATAATATTACAGGGGAAAACTGCTTGAATGGTAGCCTATTAATTTATTTCATTTAGGTGCAATCCCGCGGAGGAGAAGCGCACTTGGCAGCAGTTTAGGGTGAAATATATAAACATTGTTCAAACAGGTAAGACCTCGGCATAATCTCATGGGGGTACTTCATTTTGATAATGTTTTACATTGTAAAGTAAATATTAAGTGGCTGTTTGACTGTGCAGTTGTTTTATCCCCAACATAATGCTGTTTTAACACACATAAATGTCTTCTCATCTATATCATGGTAAGAAGGAGCATTATCACAAACTATAGGAGCAGTGTAGGAGGAGCACACAAGGAACACCTATAGCATGATTAAGAAAGGCACTGGAAAAGTAGATAATTCAAATTACTTTGTAAAGATAACAATATAAAAATAAATAAATCACGGAAATTGCCTATAAATGTAATGATTATTTTCTAAATGCTGAATACAGTTTAGCAAATGAGACTGTGTAGCTGAGAAATAAGGATGGTGTAGCTTAAGACATTAAGACAAGCCTCCTATTATATCTTCATTAGAGGTGTTGATTGATAAGGACGTACATGAAATTATTAAACAATTTAAACAATATTTTAAATTTAAAATAAGGCGGTGAACATATATACATACATATTGCACAATTATGTAAGTAAATCCCACTGATTGTCACACACCTGAGTGTGTGAAATTTGTTCTCCGCATTTGACCCATCCCCTGAGGGAGTGGTGAGCAGCAGCGGTATCGCACTCGGGAATCATGTGGTGATGTAACCCCCCAATTCCAACCCCTGATGCTGAGTGCCAAGCAGGGAGGTATGAAGTATGAATATAATGTGTGTAAAAATTAGGCTTCGAATAACATATCAATTATGTGTTATGTTATGACACTCGTTTCATGGCACTTGATGGTTACAGTATACGACACAACACCACTTTATCCTGTTAAAACAACATTCACAACTTGGATTAATTTTTATGAAAAGCACTTTCGATTCTTTTGATCGGTGGACCCTTATAGACGAAAGAAATATAAATAACTTGCCGAGTAATCAAGGAATGGACACATATTCTGACTTTCTGACAGCTTCCGAGGAAGGGAGTCACCACTTGTTTTTTGTCATGCTGATAAATCTGAATTATTTACAGACTTCTCTGGTGCTCATGGTTTCAGTAAAATGAACTAAACCGAGCTAACATTTAAACATTTGTAGATAGTGCGTTACATTAGACATAGTGCGGCTTGCAGAACTCGCGTGCAGGATGTCAGACAAGCACATTTGCACAAACCTGTTCCCTCACTGAAGCGAGGCACTTTGCTGTCAGTTTGCCGGCGATCACTAGGAAACTTGGAGGTGCCTTCCTCAGGGGGAGGTAACACTGTGTCCAGTTTTTCGAAGGGCTGCTTGCCTGGCTCTTTTAGGAACAATTTTTAAAAGAAAGAACAACATATATGAAAATAAATTAACAAGTATTATGAGATCTGGTAGAAGGAGCATTATCACAAACTATAGGAGCAGTGTAGGAGGAGCACACAAGAACACTGACAGTGCTCAACAGCATAATTGAAAAAGGCACTGGAAAAGCAGACAATTCAAATTACTTTGTAACGATAATACAAAAATAAAGAAATCAAAGACATTGCTAATAAATGTAGTGATTATTTTCTACATGTTGAAAACATTTTAAGCAAATGAGATTGTGTAGCTGAGAAATAAGGATGTGTAGCTGAAGACATTGTTTTTAAAGACTCCTGTTATATCTTCATAAGGGGTGTTGACGAATATGGACAAACGTGACACTGTTATAAAAATGAACAATGAAACTCCAGTGATTGGACTGAAATTGATATGTAGAATATATAGAATGTAAAGTGAAACCATTGACACAGACTGTCCAAAAATGTAAAAATGAATAATGTTAACATAAGGAAGACTTTATGGTGTAATAATTGTTCATAAATTATGTTGGAAACCACCAAATAATGTTAAAAAAACAAATCATTTTCAGTGATGGTTTGAAATTACAAACAAGCGTAAGATGTATATTCATAAATGGATGGCACTTGTATAGCACCTTTCTAGTCTTCTGACTACTCAAAGCACTTTTTACATTACTTGTCACATTCACTCACTGTTGGCCGAAGCTACCATGCAGGGTGCTGCCTGCTACGCAGGTTTTAATCCACTCAGACATTGATGGATCAGCCATTTGAGCAATTTGGGATTCACTGACTTGCTCAACTTTGGAGGAGCCGGGGATTGAACCTCTGATCTTCCGATTGTTAGACAACCTGCTCTACCTCCTGAGCCAGAGCCGCCCAAATGCTTTGATCTTTTTTTATTTAACTCGTTTGACTAGTCTAGGCTTTGTATTGATGGATATGTAGCCCAGATACCAGATTTGGCGGTTGGCTCATTTAGTAATTGTAATATTGCACCTGCAACATTTAATCATTAAACACAGTAATAATCGCAGTGAGTAGGATTTGAACCTACGCAGGGAAACCCCATTGGATTTCGAGTCCCTAATCCCTGTCCCCTTCTCCTCAAGAGGCTCTTGCCTTTTGCCAGGCCGCCATTGTAAATAAGAATTTGTTCTTAATGACTTGCCTGGTTAAATAAAGGTTAAATAACATAAATAAATAAATAATGAAAGAGTCCAACGCCTTAACCACTCGGCCATCACAGCTCTATCCATCAAGGGAGCTTACTCATGCAATGGATATGGCAAGGCATGTAGTAATTTTTGTTTTCCTTTTCATTGTAATGCCTTGTTGCTATCTATTCTTTTTTGTGTGCATTATTTTTGGGAAATTGCCAACATGGAACAAAATAAAGTACTACTCCTGCTGAAAAGGACAATGCTGTGTTTGAAAGACTCCCAGAGTGTGAAGGAAGAGCTACAACAAGGTTTAAAATTGTTTACGGTAAGTTGGAATTAATTTACTCCAGCCTCCTTATAGTGCAGCTTGCAGGACTTATCTTTCTTTTATGTCTTTAATGGTAAGTGAACAACATACAGGATGTCAGACAAACACATTTCCACAAACCTATTCCCTCTCTGAAGCGGTACACCTCGGTGTCAGTGATCCAGCTGCAGATGGGAAACTTGAAGGTGTCTCCCTCAGTGGATTTCACTTCCACCTTGGTGGGAAACCACTTGTCTGGATTTTGGGAAGGCTGTTTTTCAAGCTCTATCAGGACCAGCTTTCCAATGGAGGCAGGGCAGGACACGGTAAAAGTAGACACCTGGAGTAAGGACAGAAATGGTTTGAAAACATTTATGAGAGATAAAGTGTATCTGGTAACAAAGAACTGAGCAGTAACCCAATGCTTAGCATGCAATTACTGAATGTAGAAGGGTGGACAAAGTACAACTTGTGCGGTATGCACAGTATGTACACTGCATAAATTACACTTTTTGGGGGATTTTTTTTTGTAGCTCATCTTTGTGGCTGTAAAATGAAGAGTTGCACAGCAGCACATATGCCGTCATGGCCCATAGGAGTCTGATTTGGTATGAGTTTACATAACCTTTTCTACTTAGTGAGCCTACAATCTCGTATAGGTAAAAGTTGAGGATGTGTGTTATACATTTAAACACAGAGAGGGATATGTCAGACTTACTGCTCCTCTGGTGAAGGATGACTCTCCCTTGGAGCCCATGAGCCTCGTGCGTTCGCTCTCACCATCCTTTCCCACCAGCTTAATGAAGACATGGTCACAAGTGCCAGCATCATCCAGATAGGAAGTGGACACGGTCACTTGATAATCAGCCATTTTCACTCTGGAAAACAGAAGAAACCTGGTGGGACGAGAATAATGATAACCAACTTCAGCACTGATCGTGTTAACTGTCACTAGATGAAGTGGAAAAAAAATTAAAATATTGGTAACACAATGACCAAAGCATCGGCGAAAAAGTATTATAACTACAAAAGTAATAACATTTCTCTCACCTGTTAATGAGACCAAGAAGTTCCTTCGATGAATTGCTCATTTCATAAAATATTCCTCACTGATTCCTCTTTTTATCTACACAGTTTTGTGGGAGTGTCTGGTCAGTTATAATAAACAGTCAGCTCTTCTGATGATTGTGGACATGTTTGTACAATTCATCCTTTGTCAAGACCTGCCCATGGTTACTATTGCTGGGTTGGACAAAACAAGTTCATTCCCATATAGGAAACAATGGAAAATACCAGGAGATTTAACTTTCTCGTATCAGTTCTCCCACTGTTACATGCGAGAACATCAAAGTCACTAAAAATATTAGTTCCAGGTAAATGTTCAAACAGCAGAAAAAGTGTTTACCCATACAATTAATCCAAATGTATCTGATTGTTTACAACTGTAACATAAAAGTGAACTTTTTCTATAATGTGGAAAATACATACAGTAGAATACACAGTAACAGCCATCTAAAGTTGTTGCTTCCAGCCAGAGGCTCGTTGTTTGCCAGCCAACTGGCATCCAGTTTTCAGCCATATTTCATTCACATATTTAAACAGCATAAACACTGATTGTACCCCACATTTCACCTTAGTGACTCTGAAGTTCAAGAAAAAATTTGACTATGGATTCACATTTTGCATTCTCATGTGCACATGTTAATAAATATTCTTTTACTACAAAAACGTGTCTCTCTAGTTGTTGAGTTATTTCAGATGGAAGCTGTGAGTTTATCAATACTGTCATTTTTCATACTGTGCCTAATGACCATGATGCAGTGGTGGCCTGTGGAATACTGTAGGCAGGTGAATACTGAGAGCGTTGTTATCCATAAGGGAGGACAGAAATATATAAATGAACAGAAGTCCCTTTGTACAGCTAGTCTCAAAGATCAGGTGCCGACATTCACACACTTTCTACATGTGTCTTTTACATTTTGAAATGTCCTTGTGGTTTAATGTATGTGAGCCAAACAAAAGACCATCTCAAACTGTGAATTGCTGAGAATATGGCTGCCATTAGAAATGGGACCATGGATTATGCCATTGACACTACACGGAGAAAAAACATGGGTCAGTCACTTCCCTTAAATTTGCTGGCACTGGAAAAATACAACCCAATCCAAGAGGGGGTGATATGATCAACCAACTTTTAAGAAGGGAAACATTTTGGATCCAGATTTTGAATGCACTTGAGCACCTGAGTTGATTTTCCAAACAACTTTTTATGTCGGGGCTTCAGGACACTTGGATCACTATGGACGAGCAGTATGGAGATATTTTGTGGTGGTTTCAATTATGTGTTTTTTGGATGTTTTAATCTGGGGTGCCCAGCCTGCATTAGGTGGAGTTGTGCTGCTACCCACTCTCTCTCCACAAGGGATGCGAGGACTCGAGAACTTCACCTGAGCCTCCCTCGGCATATGGGTGAGTAGATAATGGCTGAATTTTCATTTTTGGGTGCACTATCCCTTTAAGCCTACTTGCCTTTCATGGGAACTAACTGCATATCTCAGTTGCGTGAGTACAAGATCAACAGAGCATTGTTGCTTTTTTGTTTCCTTGTTGGACACAATCCATGTTTGTCCAAACAACTTCCAGAGTTCCTGAGAAATATTACGAAATAGTCATGTAAATAATAGGTATAACTGTTAAAAGGGTGAGGGCTTGATAGGTAAATTTCCTAACTACATAGAAAAGGTAAGGATACTCAGCAGCATTGATTTGGTGCTTGCAGGTCATGGTCCTTTTGGTGACGGCTCACACAGGTCAAGCTGAGAATTCTCAGAGATACCTCTGCTTGCAGGTCCCACAGCACCCAACGCTCTTGAGACCATAAGAAAGTAAGTCACAGGGGATAAGATGAAGAGGGAGAAAGTTGTAGTAATAATGGACGTTATATGGTTTGTACACACACAAAATAGTGCCTGGTTGGTTATTTTTGTTTCTTTAAAGCTAAGAAACTAGTGATTATACTTGAATGCATTCTAAGTTAAGTAAATCTCCTCCATGGGGTGTAGTGGAGGGTATACACAGGTACACGGAGTATACCCACCTTTTTCTGGTCATTTACAGTATACCCACCTATCAGCCAAAAAGCCATTGAAATATACAGGAGAGCATATACCCTCTTCCTCATCTGTAATCCACCTTACCAGAAACCACTACAGCACTGACACTGTCCTTTTAAACTGTCTGTCACACTAACTCAAGAATAGACCTATGTATTACCATATGAACACCATTACAGCTGAGAGAGAGATGTGAAATAAATTAGAATAAATGAGACTCAGAACATATAATTGCACATTTGCTGGTTTACTCGTGTGAAAGCCAGAAACTGATAGGACAGCTTGACTTTATAGTGTCTGACAAACAGACACAAATATGTGACACACCTCCAAGCCTTCCCAGACACACACCCTACACAAGCTGCTACTACATGTTATTCAGCTAAAGTTATCTTGACTCAGACACTCAATTGTCAGTTGCACTAACCAAAACACACTGTAGACATTAGATAATAGATGTGCTTTTTGTAACCTGGAATCATTCTCTTCTCTTCTGTTCACACGTGCACAGATTTGGTTGAGATCAGGTCAGGTCTTTCGCAATAGATAGTCCCTCCTCTGGGGGTCATCCGACCCACACTCAATCAGTTATACAATCAGTCAATTAAACAGCTAATCAATCAATCAATCTTTCACCCTCATTAGTTAACCACAGACGACCAGCAGCAGTGAGCAGAACATGGTCCTTTGCCAGTTTCCAGGTGCACTGCCAAATGGGTTCATTAAAGCACCAAGCCAGAGGTACATCTGCAGGGGACTGAACCCTGTAGTACCTCTGACCTAAACATATTAAAAGCATTAAATGAGTAAAATCATATAGTGGTGGCAGTTTGATTAATACTGTCAGTCTTACATACTCTGACTGCAGGCTTTTACTCAGGCCTAATTCTGAGTGTGTCCAAAAGTAATTATCTCCTTGTAAAGTTAGACTGTAGGCTGTGACTGAGGTCATGTAACGCTGTAACATTTCCTCTGTCATATCTCCTAAAGCAACTGGGTTTTTGTTTCTGCTTCAGAGCTGGATTATTTCAATAAGTATCTGATTTCAGCTGTGATTGTAGTAAAATTTGTCTCAGCTCTGTAAAGTGATCATTTGTGTGGATATGTCTAAAGGGCGAAGTGCTGCTCTGCTGCATCTACACAGTGACAGAACAGGAAGAGGGAAGAGGTTTGAGGAGTGGCACATTGCTTTCAACAAATACCTTGGCTCTGCTCTCTTGAGTTATCAGCAGAGAGCTCATAGCTATCCTTACCTCCTCCATCATTCCATCCCGCAATTGCATGAGAGTTTGTCCGTGAAGGTGTGAAGCAATCCAAGGCCTGTACAGACAGACACCAGCTAACTGGATGTTACTGGCAGATCAGAATCTGAGGCGATGCTTCCCATCTGAGATCGCCTCTACTAACATCAGACCAGATCTTGTGCTTTGGTCCTTCTCACTGCACCTCTTATACATCATTGAGCTCACTGTGTCACAGTCTGCTTCTCTCCCTCACCTGCTCCTGGTAAATTTCCCCTCACCTGCAACCTGCTAGCCAGCCACATCCCCTCATCAAGATAACTCCTCTCACTTGCCTCCACAGCTGCAACTCATCAGCCAATCTGCCTGGTATAAGCCTCTCCAGCACACATAGGGCCAGATCCTCAAAAGGATTGCACTGCTTTTGCGACCGCTAAACCTGTGCAAATGAGAGAAAAAAAATAGCGTGCAATCCACAAAGCACACGCAAAGGGTGAAATGCACGCAAACTGAACACAAACTGCACTGCCACTCCTAGCTGCGCCGGTCCAATTTGCATGCATGTAAATTAGGGAATATTCATAAATTCTGCGCAAAATTGCCCCCTTCTTATGCAAATAAGCCTCATTGCAAATACCACCTAATCCACAAAGACCAGCGCTAATTGCCACAGGCAGTAAAGTGGTGCTATTTAACGCCAGTGAGACCCGTGTATTAAATCCGCGCAATTTCTCTTTCTCCCTCTCTCACTCACTCTCTCACGCAAAATGATTGCAAATTTCACTCAGTTGGTGGTAACTGTGGAGCATAGCCTATATAAGGGCTGTCATGCCTGGACTCCGGTAATCATGGCAGCAGTGATTGTAGCCAGGTGAAGGCACCGTAATGGCAGGCGCGCACCAGAAAGGATTTATCGGAAGAGAGTATCACTTTTTGATTTAAGTGACAATGAAATCATTTGCACATACCGGTTGCCAGGCCGCATGATCCTTGCGCTACTAGATGACATCAAGGATGACATTGAGCCTGCCACCCAGAGATCCCATGCTTTACCTGGCATTGTCAAATTAGTGTCTACTAGTGATGCGCGGATGGGCTCTGATGGCACCCGAATCCGCATCTATCCATCAATCATCCATCCACCACCCATCCGAGCAAATTAATTTTCTGTAATTACAGACCCGCATCCACCCGCACCCGCATGTTTATATTATCAGGAAAGATTAGATCCTGACCGATCCCGTCAGCTGACTGACATTAAAATAATCAATAAAATGGCGCCGTTACTCCGTGCGTAAATGCGCACATTGGCACTCTTAATGAGGAGACACTCATTTCTGCTGCTGCGGGGATCACTGTGTTAAATAAACCCTTCCACATGACACATTTAAAGAGTATGCTTGCCCAGCCAATCATACATTATTTATCAGCGGGATATAAGCATGATGATATAGAGGGCCTATTGTATTGCACACGACACAAGTAGGCTCATTTCACATTTTAGAGCATGCAATACATTTTCCCCTCATTAATGTTTGTCAAAGCAATTTGTAAACTTTGTTTTAAAAGGATGCGATTTAAATAAAAGTTGTTATTAGGCTATTATTTTCACCCGCCCATAACCCATCTGCCATTAATCAGATTGTTCATTTTTATCACCCAATCGACCTGGCGGTTATAACTGCCATCTGCGCATCTCTAGTGTCTACACTACAGGTTCTTGCATCTGGCTCTTTCCAGAACCCCATTTCAGGCGTCTCAGGGCTCTCACAGTCATCCATCAGCAGGGCCATGTGCTGCAAATTGTGCTCAGCTGCCAAACTTTGTGGGCGTGTTAGCGCCGGCATATGATTAGAGCAAATTCTTTTGAGGATAAGGCGCTAAAACAGGGCAGATTGCGTGAGCTAAATAATGGCGCTATTAGCAGGAGCAATCCATTCTTTGTGGATCTGGCCCATCCCTGCCAGATTGTTCTTCAACCTCATGCAAGATGTAACAGTCGAATATATGAAATGTGCCTTTAACATGATGTATACTGTGTCGCTTAACAGCAACGTCATCAAGCAGCGCTTGTTAAGATTTCTGTCTGTTGAGAGCGCACCCAAACGCTGGTCGGACTACACCTATGTGCTCCCGCTTTCCTTTATGTCTCTTAACACAACAGTAATGGTTGTAAGTACGTGTGGCAACTATTGTGTTCATGTGTGGAATTGTAGTAGCCGTACAACCGGGCTTGGTAAGGTTGGAGTGTTTTAAGTGGACGTAAAAATAAACGACGAGCATTTGTGAAATCCCACACTTGTGTGAAAGTGAGTTTCTGCCTGTCCTCTAACTCCAAAGACCTACACGGACCCAAAACCATTACAAGTGGCGCCCGAACAACTTTTCCTTGGACCTTTCATCGACGACCAGTGCAAGTATACAAAGCAGAGCGATTTTCACCATTTTTTTCACCTTTTTGGACTGAATTGAACCTAACCGCCTTTGCCGGCGGCGACATCAGAGGTACTGACGAGCAGGCACGACAGTGTTGCAGCGCAGACAGCGGGAGAGACACTGCTTTCATCTGAACTTTTCACCATTTCTGGACTTGTAGAAGCGACGGGCCACGAAGTTTCCCTCAGGCGGCTGCTCTGGATGTTCCGGTGGAAACGACAACGGCTCCCGGTCAGCGTCAACGAGCGGCTACCATAGACTGTGTGTGACGGCTTCTCAGATCTCCATATAGAGACTTTCCTCTCCTCCCTGTCGCCTGCTGCTCTCCGGCTCTTCCTCTCGCGGATTTCTGTTACTCATACCTGGACTGTTTCTGCAGAAGTGACAGGACTTATTGGGTAAAGTTCATATACTGTGAAAATTAATGACTATTTGGAAAAAAAAATGATTAAAGTGAACTGTGATAAACTCCTATAATAATTGCAACTGTGAGAAAATAACTATACAGATTGTGAATTGCACTTACTTTGTGGCTTTATTCATCACCTACTGACTGAGCAGCATTTTTCATATATTTGCAAGAGAAGTGTTATTTTGATGCTTATGCTATTTCTCATTTTCTTCTTGCATTAGCTCTAGCGAGTGTTTTCAGCTGCGGTCTTCTCCTTTTATAGAGGGTGATTTTAAAGGAATACTCTGTTTAATGTTTATGCCTTCCCACATTGTGGTACTAGGCTATGTAGTTATGTAAACCCAGGTTGCAGTTATTGATATCTGAATCACATCACAAGTTAACTGATATTTGAACCTTCAAAACAAACAAGTGTACAATGGCGACTCATCCTGACTTGACAGACCTTGACGTTGACACTGAATTTATGCCCCTTCCACCTCGAGCTGCACTGAGTCAGCCCGCTGCTGACCCTGAACTAAAAGTGAAGAACTTGCAAGCCGAAGTGGAGATGTTTCAGATGTGTCTGCGTGACTCCCTTGATCTACAGAGAAGTATCTTACGGCACTGGGACCAAACCATCAAGGCAGGCCCCATAGCTCCCCCTACCACTCCTGTACCAGTGGCTACTTCAACACCTTATGCACCTAACTCTCCCAACAGGAAGCCTCAGTATTCTGATATGGTGACACCCGATGACGCTCCAACTACTAAACCTGCTTCTCGCCTTCAGTCAGATTCTCTTGAACTGAGCAATACTTCCAGAGTCCTTGCAGCTGCACTGCACCAAGCTAAACTGGAGCCTCCTGTGTTTGCTGGAGATGGTATGATGCATCCAGAAGACTGGTTATACTCTGTCAATACATACAGGTCTTCCCTAGACTTAACAGATGCTCAGATTCTCAGAGAGCTGCCACGCTTCCTAGCTAAAGAACCAAGGAAGTGGTTTGGTGTACTCAACACTCATGTTGTCACTTGGACTGACTTCTGTGAACTATTCAGAATGGTTTTCCTACCTGCTGATAATCAGGAGCGTATCATGAGAGGCATCCTGTACCGCATCCAGAGACCCGAGGAACCCCTCCCCACATTCGTTGCTCATATGCTCAGCGAATTCAAAAAACTGAGAAGTCCACCATCAGAGCTGGAACAAATTGAGCTCATTTGTAAACACGCTCTTGAAAAGTACAGAATTGCAATTTATGGCACACCTGTCAAATCAGTCATTGAACTAATGTTGCGAGCACATGAGCTTCACTCTGTCCTTGGCCCCAACACCCAGCAGCCACCTCGTGCACAAGCAAACAGTAAGCCGGATAGAGCGACTTATTGTTTCAAATGCTCCATGCCAGGTTTCACTTCTCGTACCTGCCCTAACTGCTCTGTGGCCCCCCAGGAACCCCCACATTCCCCTAGGTCCACGTTTGAGCTACCACAAGCCCCACCTCCAGACCAAAGTCCCGATGCAGATGCTGTGAGAGCCAAAAATAAAAATACTGTGGCAGAGACAAGGCCATTCAGTAAGAAGCAGGGAAACTTCCAAGGGGGGAGGACATTTCGCAGAGGCGACCCTCCCCCCGGTCACTAACTCCGCCTCCCCCTCTTTCATCCACCCCAAATGACCAGCATGTACTCGGTCACGTGGAAGACGAGACTTCAGAGTCAATTTGGAACACCCCACTTAAAGCAAAAGTGAACTTTAAAGGTACAGCAATAGACGCCACGTTCGACACAGGCGCCACACTCTCTGCCGTGAGAGCAGACTTAGTCCCTGAAAACGTTCAAATCCGACCCCCAGCCACCACATGGTCAGGCCCACCAATCCAGCTTGCAAATAATGCACCCTGCACCCCGTCAGGGACCACGTGGCTAACCATTGGGTTTATGGGCAAACGTTTCTATCAAAAATTTGCTATTATCCCTGACGTTTCTTCTCCCCTAGTTATGGGGATGGACTTTATGAAACGTGCATCAATCACCATACATGTACCTACCAGAACTGTGCTCATGGATGACGACCCACCCTACTTTGATGAACTTGATGAAGACAGCCTGGACATAACTTACCTGGCAGGGGAAACCATGATGCTTCTCGACGCTTCACCACCTGCCCTTCATGACAAAGTGGAGCAAGCAAACTTGGTGGGGGACGAAAAAGCAGAGCTGTTAAAGCTACTTGAAGGTTACAGTGATCTGTTTGATGGTCATCTTGGCCGCACCTCCCTTGCTAAACATGCCATTGTCACCGGAGATGCAAAGCCTGTCAATCTTCCCCCTTATCGAACATCTCCTGCTAAGAAACAGATAATTGAGGAACAAATACAAAAGATGCTACAGGATGACATCATCGAGCCAGCATCAGGGCCCTGGGCTGCCCCGGTGG